TTCGGTGGTTAAACTCTTTGATTTCTTATTTATTTGAAGATGCTTTTAATTTACCCTCTGTCTTAAAAGGTATATTATTTTCTATTAATAGCCATTGTCTCATTATATTGAAGGTAAAGTGAGATATAATTCTATCTTTTCTGGTTTCTATTGTTGAGAAGTCAATTTTTGTTTCTTTGGTATATCTTTTCTTTCTTGCTGCTTTTAAGATATCTTTGCCTTGGTTTTCTAGTTTTACTATGATGAGATTGAGTGTGGGTTTGGGTTTTCTTTATCTCTTTAATTCATTCCTTTTTAAAAATTTAGCTTAAGATTTAATGGGGTTATTGAATTTTGATTGGTGGTGTTCATCAGTATTGGTAAAGTCTCAGTTATTGTTTTAAATATTGACTGTGCTTTACCCTCTCCTCTGGAACTCTAATTAGATATATATTAGATCTTTTCTCTTTATTCATCATGTGTTTTAACTCATTTCTTATGTTTTCCCTTTCTTTCTTTCTACATGATGCATTCCAAATAAATTCAATAGATCTGTCTTCCAGTTCATTCATTGTCTCTTCAGCTAAATCTACTTGTCAAAGTTTTACATTTCTCAGTGTTCCTGTATAAGGGGAAAAAAAGCATTGTATGACTCTTTGAATCTTTGATTACCATAAGAATTAGAATTGTGACCATTTGCCTAGTTAATTACTCTGAGCAGAAAGGAAATATGTTTTATTAGCTCACTGAAAGGGCCAAAGGTCACAGCTCTAAATTCCTGTGTTAAGCCCCAGGATGCTGGAGAGACTAGAGGATTATCTCCTTAGATATTTACATATCAAAATGAATAAAGCCCTAAAATTTAGAATCATCTCTAGGTTGTCTGGCTCCTGGAGACATTTTACTTACATACCATAGTGTTGGTTAGAAGTCAAACACATTACATTTTCTAGAAGTCTCCTTTGAAAGGGAAGAAAACAGCTGTCAGCTTCCTCTTTATAAGCAGAGAAAAAACACTTTCTCCATGTCTTGTATGTAGCCATCTGACTGCTTGAATAGCATAATTGATCTGGCTTTCATCTGACTGCCCTGGAGATAAGGCTTGGGGCAAGAGAGTAGGGGCAACACACTTATTTACTGTGAGATAATTAATAAGAAGTCTGTGATCCAGAATACCTGTATTCGTATTTAGGATGAAATTAATAAAGACTAAACCAAACAGTTTTGTGAACAATTATTTCTTCTCAGCTCATGGTTGCATTTGGGATCATTCGGGAATATGCTTTAATATTTTGTTCAGGATTTTTAGTTGTTTTCAGCAATATCTAGACCTGCTAGAAATGGAAGCTCAAGTTATCTAGTTTTTATATTGAACAATTGAGAAAAAAGTTGTGTGTGTGAAACTGGGTCCCAAATAGTCAAAAACAAAAACAAAAAAAACCCCTAAAATTCTTGAGGTTATATATAGGATGGCAAATAAAAAATACCCCAACTTGCTAAAACTCCCTCCCCCACCTATAAGATAACAAAACTGGCTAAAATCAATTGAAACCAATGTAGTGTCTGTGCAAAGCAAGCTTGCTGACATCAGAGCCAAATTTCTACAACATGTTTCATGCTATCTCCCCCCAAATTTGCACATACAATTCATGATGGGACATAAAGAGATAATTGCACGTGCCGGAGGACCTTCCAGACCTCCCCTTTTTCCCCACCAATCACCTACTAATCCTAGAATCCACTCTAAACCTTTTCTAATAAAAGTACTGCCTTAAAGCCAGCCCAGGGAGACAGATTTGAGCTGGACTCCTGTCTCGTTATTGATCAACTTTCAATAAAGCCTTTCTTTTTTCAAAAACCTAGTGCCATAGTATTGACTTCTAGCACATTGGGCAGCAAGCCCCCTTTTGCTCAGTAACATATATGTCATAAGTGACATGCTTTGTAGACTTTCTTTTCCTATTCAGTAATAATATTATGTGGTGGTAGAATTATTTTTTATTTTCACATTTAGTCCATATACTGTTGAAATGCTGACTATTCCTTTTAGCCTAAAAGTTATGAACCAACCAGCTCACTATGATATAATGAACTTTAAAATGTTAGAAGCAATCCTTCAGAAGTACATGATCGAATCAATTATATTTACTCAAAAAACCTTTTCTTTTAATAATTGACTAAATACATGGCTGTCACCCCTTGATAGTTTCATTAAAAGTCATTCAGTATAGGTGTTGTAATGTACTCTCTTGGTTATTTGTAGCATTATTTGAATTATACATAAATATTACTTGATTTGAGTTTATTTTTGTTTTAAGATTATGGAACACAGAATCTAACATGTTGCTAATGGGCTCAAGCAATCCTCCTGCCTCAGCTTCCCAAGTAGCCGAGACTACAGGCATGCACCACTACACCTGGCTAATTTTTCTTATATTTGGAGGGCCTTGCTTTGTTCCTCAGGCTGGTCTTGAACTCCTGGCTTCAAGTGATCCTCCCATCTTGGCATCCTAAAGTGCTAGAATTACAGGTGTGAGCCAATACACCTGGCAGCTATATTTATTTTCAGAATCAGTTTTATTTTATATTAAGTCCTTATTAAGATTTTGTAGAAGCCTGTGGGAAATGAATTGTGTCATAGTACATATTACAATATGCTTTGCTGTTTTCTGCTATGCTGTATTTTTCCCATTCATTAATTTATTGTAGCTTATATACTAGTTTGTCTTACTGTTGTTTTTCATTTCTTTCTCCATAGGTTTTTTTTTGTCTTTCATTAATGAAATACTTTTTGAGACCCTACTATGTCATTTTTTTCTTCTATTCTTATTCTATGCTCAACATATAGCATTTTATTTAATAGCCTATAGATGAACACTGTCCAATAGAAATACAATGTGAAGCACAAATGAGAGCCATATATAGAATTTTAAATTTTCTAGTGGCCACACTTAAATACATACAAAGAAACAGGTAAAATTAATTTTATTTAACCCAATAGATTCACAATGTTAGCATTTTATCACGTGATCAATATAAACATTATTGTGATATTTTACATTCTTTTTTCATAGTGTTTAAAATTCAGTGTATATTTTATACTTACTGCATATCTCTGGACCATAGTGTTTACTTGAATGGTAGTTGGATTTTAAGTATTCTTAATAGTGACTCTCCTAAATCAACCTTTTTAAAAGTTTAATACATTAAGCTTTCTGTTTTCTTGGGTGATACATAAAGGAATCTTATTTGAATGATGTCAGTTTGGGTGTTCTTATTCTATAAAGTGACAGTGCAAACAGTGTATATTTGTCTTGTCAACATAATAGAATGGATTAAAATCCACAAAATATACTTTGTAATAAACTCTATCATCATTTGCTAATCTTGCTGAGTATAAGATTGATACATGTTTAAATACCACATATTATGAATTTCCAGGAAGTCTGTTTTAAGAATCACAAAAGGTTTATAACCCAAATTTTTAGAATTTTATTACTTAGTTTATTTACAATGGAGATATGTTAAGTATTATTTATTGCATGGCTGGTTCAAATAGATCTCATTAATTTTTGATAATATTAGACATTTTTTTCCTTCTGGATTCAGTTTTTAGCTTACAACCAATTATTTAAGTGTGTATGCCTTTGTACACACATTTATGTGTGTGTCATATACATTTATGTATGTGTATATTTATGCATGTACATTTATGTGTGTGTCTCAAATGATTTCAGAGTATTAATATTATATAATAGGTATAAAAATGTCTACATTTAAGCTCATAGCCTGAATCTGTTTTCAGAAATCATTTTATAACAATAAAATATATTTAACAGTGATTTATTTAATATTATAGCAATAACCATGATAGGTCATCATGTTATTAAATTATAATGCTAAATAAATGAAAAAGAGACAGTGCTGTCATAGACTATATGGATGTGACAATTAATAAAACAAAGATTTTAAACTAGTATTGTAGGCAGAATACATAGAGAAAATTAGGATAATGGGGAGTAGGTAAGAGAACAGGACTTTCCAAATTTATCTCTTCCCAGTTCTTTGACATTTTTAGAATACTATTGAAAGTGAATTTTTTCCCTCTTAATTAAATAAGCTGTTTAGAAACAAATGAGATTCCTTGAGTTTTTCTTAATAATTGAAATAATGGGGCCAGGCACAGCGGCTCATGCCTGTAATACTGGCACTTTGGGAGGCTGAGGCAGGAGGATCACTTGAGGTCAGGAATTTGAGGCCAGCCTGAACAAAAGTGAGACCTCATCTCTACAAAAAATAGAAAAAAATTAGCCAGGCGTGTTCACACCTGTAGTGCAAGCTACTGTAGTCCCAGCTACTTGGGAAGCTGAGGTAGTAGGATCACTTTGGCCCAGGAGTTTGAGGTTACAGTGAGCTATGATGATGCCACTACACTCTACCCTAGGAGATAGAACATGACCCTATCTCAAAAAAAAATATTTAGGAAACCCCAGAATTTACTTATATCATAGCCTGTGTTAAAGTATAGATACAAAAATAAATACTAAGATACAACATTCACTGATCTTGAGCAAAAGATCTTAAGTTTAGTTTTCTGTTGTATATACAGGTAATTTTCAAATTGAGGTAAATATCCATTGACATTGTATTTCAAAACCATCATCTCTTCTGCTCTTTTTGTAGTGGTAAAGTGGTAGTACAATTGTTCTGCTCTCTGCATTGGCTTACAGGATGCCATTTTTCCACTTTCTTTTCTTACTATACTGACTATTGCTTCTTAATGTGGCCTCCCTTTCATTATTCTCAATTCCCAACCCACACCATATCAAATATTGGTGAACTCCAGAATTGTCTTCCTGTGTATTTGCAGACTTAAGACATTTGGCCATTTATAAAATAAGTATTTCAAAACAGTTTTAAAACAGCATAGAACAAAATGTTTTAAAAACTTTTGAAGTGTTTTAATATATCAGTGATTTCTGTTACATTTCAGTAACTAAAACATCATGTTTTTCTTTTAGAATTCAAACCTAATTCATCAGAAAGTGTCTCCTCCTAATGATCGACAAGGATCTCCATTATTATCGTTCATTGTTCTTGAACAATTTAATGCCATTCGTTTAGTACAAAGTGTTCATCAGTCTCTTGCTGCTCTCAGCAAAGTCATCAGAGGAACTACCTTACTGAGTTTAGAGGTACAAAAATTGGCAAGTGCTTTGTTAAACCAAAAGGTAAGCCAATACTATATGTTTTTTTAATTTAATCGTTATAAGTGGCTCTTGCATCATGCATACATTTGTCAGTAATGTTATAGTTAATAGTAACAGAAAATTCAAGTCAAACTGGCTTAAGCCATATAGAAATTAACTGGTTGATGTAACTGAAGAGTCTAGTGGTAGCTAGCATTAAGTCAGCTTGATTCAGGAGCTTACAATTGTCATTAGGATCTCAGTTTATGTTATCTATCTAGCTATCTAGTCATTGCATGTACAATGAAATCTGTGTTGATTTCACTTTGGAACAGATCCTCTATACATGATGGTACCCTACCAGCCTGAGTTTCATATCCTCTGAGCTCCAAGTCCACAGTAACTCAAGCAAAAATCTTGGGATTTGCTTTGATTCAAATCACTTGGTTTGTATGTTATGCCTATTCCCATACTAGTTCTGTGGGTAGGATGTGCAAAGATCTCACTGACGAGGGTTTCAGCCAAATGCCTATCCCAGGGCTGGGGATGGATTCATCTTTATCTGTAACACGAATGCTGAGAATAAGGGAAGGATGATCACTCAGTGAAAAATCTGGGTACTTTTAGCAGAAGAAGGGAGAAACAGCAATTCTCTTGCTGAATAATTGGACCATTTTAAATGATAGTAAAATCCATGTATTTCAGATCTATTGAGTAAGAAACAAAAAATATGGAATGTCCTGTATAAATTTACTTTAGATACATAGAGAATATAAACTTTACAGAAGTTGGTATCTGGAAAAGATTTTACTAGGGCTTTACAGGAATTAGGAGGTTTTTCACCTTCCCTGTTATTTATACTCAGTATAAGGAAACCTCTGAAAGTCAACGTAAAAGTCCTCTCTGTTTGACTATAAAAAGATAGCCTTCCTAAAACTTCTTACATCTTACTAATATTAAGAAGATAGCCAATGCTACTTCACATGTGCAAAAGATCTATTCCAGCATCCTTGTCTTCCTTTTTTCTTTACCCTGAAAAAGAATCTGTTTTGTATGGTTTACTAAATTTATGGTTTTTCTTTCTGTATAGATTACTATCTATGTTAATCAACTGTGAATATCAAAATAGTTTTGTATTGTACTATAGATTGTACCTAATTTGTTTTTAATTTGGAGTAGCTAGACTGTCAGTCATGAAAGATCCTTGGCACAGTTAAGGAATCTATGGGAAAAGATTCTAAAAACTCGCTAAGAACTTTACATTAATTAACTCATTTAATCACCACAATAACATTATGAGTGGTACTAATTTTATGTCCATTTTACTGTGATGAACCTGAAGCAAAAGAGTATTAAATAACTTAATCAGAGTCGCCCAGAAAAGAGCTGCAGAGTCAGGATATAAATTTGGGCAAATCTGGTTGTTATAATAAATGTAAATGGTTTACATTTATATACAAAAAGATAAATATTCTTGGGAGTGTATTTCTTTAAAATCCAACTATATGCTGTAGGGGACAATGTATGATACAGACTAATTGCTGTTGAATTAAGAAGAGAAGGAGAATAACTATGATAGAAGAACATGACTCCTATAGAATAGAACTATAAGACTGGTAGGACTGGTACACAATGAAGTATAGTAATATGAAGGTGGGATCAGATTTTTAGGTCTTTAAAGCCAAAGAAAGGAATTTGGATTAAATGCTATAGGCAATAAGGGTTTTATTTTGTAGAAATAACAGCAAAATGGCTAAGAGTGTGGCCTCTGGAATATGTCTACCTGTTTGAATCCTGTTCTATCACATAATAACTGTGTAACTTTGGGCAGGTTACTCAAACATCTCTAAACTTTGCTCATTTGTAAAATGAGGATAATAATAGGACCTTTGTAAGAATCATGAGTAAAGTGCTTGGAACATAACAAGCACCTATAAATGTTAGTTATTTTGTTACTGTTACTTTCGGAGAATTTCTTTACGAAAACAGCTTTTGGAGCATTTGTCTGGTAACGTGCAAAATGAACTTACAGAAGTAGGGATACCATGTAGGTTCCTGTATATTCATCTCAGGAAGAGGTAGTTAGGGCTTGGAATTAGAGTATTTCAAGAAGGTTCTATGTGATATTAACAAAAAATACAAAAGGTAATTGACAAACATGGTTTCTTATTTTGCTTCTGCTGTTAACCATCTGGGTGATTTTTTTTTTTTTTTTTTGAGACAGAGTCTCGCTTGTTGCCCAGGCTAGAGTGAGTGCTGTGGCGTCAGCCTAGCTCACAGCAACCTCAAACTCCTGGGCTCAAGTGATCCTTCTGCCTCAGCCTCCCGAGTAGCTGGGACTACAGGCATGCACCACCATGCCCGGCTATTTTTTATATATATATATATTTTATATATATATAATATATATAATATTATATATATAATTATATATATTATACATATTATATAATATATATTATATAATAATATAATATATATTACATAATATATATTATATATATATATATTATTAATTAATATATTATTTATATATATATACTTATTGGCCAATTAATTTCTTTCTATTTATAGTAGAGACGGGGTCTTGCTCTTGCTCAGGCTGGTTTCGAACTCCTGACCTCGAGCAATCCGCCTGCCTCAGCCTCCCAGAGTGCTAGGATCATCTGGGTGATTTTTGGCCTAAACACTTGAAAAAAGTGAAAATTTAGCTTGAAATCATTTTCTATGATTGTAATATAATGTAGCTTACATTAGGTCATATTTGTAAGATAACAGAACTAAAGCAGCTTAACTGTATGAAATAGTTTCCTTAAGATTAAGTCCAAAATATTTTAGAAAGGGGTCATAAATTTTTAATTTCTTGTAATATTTTTCCTTTTCCCTGAACCAAGACCTGCTATTTCCTTATATGGTATAGCAACAGAATAGGATGGTTTATTTCTAATTAAAATATATTTATGTAGGATATAGATAATTTCAATATGTAATTTATTAAATTAACTATTCTATATATACTTTGAATTAAGAAAATAGCCTGGAAAATATCACTACCTTTGAAATATTTTTATTTCCATGAAAATTAACTTGTTAAAATTCTATCAAATGATGAAAAATATGTTTTGCAAACCATGTTTAAATTGTGTCACAGGTAGTATCTTTGGAAATAATTTAGAATGTTTGATGAAACTCAAATGAGGCTAGGTTGACTTTCATTAAGATAAGATCAGTAAAATACTTTCTGACATTTACTTTCTAATGAGTTTTAACAAAAACTGAGAATTCAGTACTATCCCATTTATTTCAGAATGAAAATTTAATTTTTATTACATTTGAATATGACAAGTTATGTATTATGTGATATGATTTATGTAATTTAAGAAATAATTCAGTACTTGACATTTTCTTTATTGTGTCAGACTTGATTAGAGTAGGAATTTTCCTAGAGAGATTTATGACACTTTATTTCCTTGATAGTTTTTGGTGATCTGCTGAAACTTTTTTTGTGAAAAGACACAATACTTATAATATGTTTGTTAAAGAATAACAGTATTATAAAATGTTAGGACATGGGCTTTATAGCCTAATTACAAAAATGAAATTTTCAATTCTAAAAAAACTGAAAGGTATTAATACAATGCCAAATTGCTTCATCCTTCTTGCTGAATAATCACTGAGACTGTTTACCCTTTTAGTAAGAATTAATAAGTTATACTGATTTATTAAAAAATTATTTTAGGACTGGACATGGTGGCTCATGCCTGTAATCCCAGCACTTTGGGAGGCTGAGGTGGGAGTATTGCTAGAGGCTAGGAGTTCAAGATCAAGCTAGGTGACATAGCAAGACCCTCTCTATACAAAAAATATAAATAAATAAGAAAAAGTAGTCGAAGGTAGTAACGTGTACCTCTAGTTTTAACTACTTGGGAGGCTAAGGCAGGAAGATAGCTTGAGCCTAGGAGTTTGAGGCTATAGTGAGCTATGATTGTACCACTGTACTCCAGCCTAGGCAACAGAATGAGACCTCATCTCAAAAGAAATTATTTTAATTGAACCCCTTTTAAAGCCAGCATATGTATTAGCTATACATTTTAATTTATCCTAACATACTAATTGATAACACTAAATGGCTTCTTAATTTCTTGAAACAAGGAGACCCTCAACAATATAGCAAATATGCTAGTGGGTCCTAAGTCTTTTAAAATTAAATTTAAAAAATGGTTTTAAACCATTTTTGGATCACTATCACCTTTAAAAATTGATGGAAAGAGATGTAATCTCTTAAACTACATCCATACATATGCATATGGAACTTTATTATATAATTTCAGAATGTCTAAAAGTTCAGATCTACTTTGCTGGACTAGTTTTTCCTTTCACTCCTTTCTCTAGCATGGCCACCTTTATAGCAGTGGTTCTCAAAATATAGTCTCCAGACCAGTAGCATTTGCATTACCTGAGAGCATGGTAGAAGTATGATTTATTGTACACCTCCTCCCACCTCCCAGACTATTGAATCTGAAACTCTTAAGCGTATTTCCCTGCAATCTGTTTTATCAAGCCCTGGAGATGGTTCTGATTCATCCGAAGGTTTGAGAAACACTGTTCTATGGACAGAGTTCCCATCAAAAGGGCTGTACCTCCCATACCACATTTGTGTCTATCTTCACTTTGTCAACATTTTTTATCACTTCCCCTATTGATCTTTAAGGCTTTAAGGGAAAAGTAAAGATGCTCATTCTTATGAAATGGTTGGAGATCCCATCTTTTCTTAAAGGCCCATTTTTATTGTTTATCTACTTATATGGAAATAAGTGCTTAGAAAAGTCATATAGAAACTTTTAATAAATTATAATTATTAATGTTGAATAATTTGCATTTTTCCATTTAAATAAAGTAATAGCTTATATTACAGAGAACTTCCAGTTATAGAGAACTTTTGTAGCCCTTATCCAATTTGCTACTCTCATCATCCCCCTTTTACTTAAATTAGAAAACTAAAGCTGAAAGGAGTTACTATCCTGATAAAGTGTCAAAGCTCA